AAGGGACATGTCAGTTCTCACATCCTGAGATAGCCTAATGGGGCCACATAGGCCTGGGTCCAGAAGTGTTAGAGGGATCAGGAGGTAGTCCAGCCTTACTCAGTTTCCACCCAGAATGTTGTAGTTCAGACATGAGACAGTGTGACATAATGACCTTATTTAGGATCCCATTTCTCTGAAAGCAGTACTGCTGAGTGGTATGTGACCCAACACGATGAACTCAGAATAGCTAAGTTGAATCAAGTGATTCTAACAACTAAAACACTTTTTGAGGCTGTGGAGATAACTTGGTGGTCCAAGCATGTGCCTGGCAACTGCAAGCCCCTACTTCAAACCCTGATGCCTCATGCTGTACTAGCCCTGGAATCCCATGCATGTCATACTAGCACTAAAACTCAGCATGATGGTGCACACCTGTAATCTTAGCTTTGTAGGGGGTGGCAGAAACAGGAGGAACACTACATGTCTGAACTGCATATCAAGACCCTGTATCAAATAAATACTTTCTGAATGGGACTCTAATATCTTACAGAAAAATAGAAACAGTGGACAAATAATATTGCATTGATTTAGAAGTTTCTGCACAACAAGGAAAAGCACAGTGAAAAGCAACAGTACATGCAATCTGGGGATAAAATCTTGGCTAGCTACTATTCTGAGAGAAGGTTAGTATTCAAGTAAAGACTCCAAAACTTAATACTAAAGAACATGGCAAGGACTGCTGGAGTGCTCTTATAATCCCACCACTCACAACACTGATCCAGGAGGATCAATGTGACCACAAGGCCAGTCTGGGTAAATAGTGAATGCAAAGCTTTCCCAAGATATATAGCAAGACCCGACTCAGAGAAAAACAAGAAGGTTGGCAAGCAGATACTTTTCCCAAAATGTACAAATGATCCATAAGTACATGAATAAATGTTCGACATCTTTAGTCATCAGAGAAGTAAAACTCAAACTTAAGTGTAATTAGTAGAGATACAGAAGGTCACTACATACTTGTTAGGGGAAAGCTCCAAGAAGAAGGGATAACTATTATAAATATATATGCCCCTAATGTAGGAGCACCCAACTATATAAGATAAATTTTAACAGACATGAGAAATCAAATGAGCAATAACATAATTGTACAGGAGGATTTTAACACTCTATTGACACCAAGAAGTAAACTATGCAAAAAAATTAGCAAAGACAGAATTAACTAAGCCAAACTTGTGAATAAAAGGACTTATTTGGCCTTTACAGAGTGTTCCACCCAACAACATCAGAATACACACTCTTTTCAGCTGCACATGGATGTTCTCCAAAATAGATCATGTACTAGCACACAGAGCACGCTTTAGTAAATGCAAAGGAATGAAAATTATCTCATGCATATTATCTGACTACAGTGCAATGAAATAACATTATTGACAAAAGAAACAGTAAAAATTCCATAAACACATGGAAACTAAATAATGCCTTCCAAGGGCTGCGGAGATGGCTCAGTGGAATAAGTGCTTCCCTGGCAAGCACAAACACTCCTGTTTGCAGCCTCCAAAGCCCTGCAATTACAGTCACGTTCCACCACACTCAGTCTTCTAGTTGATTGTTAATATAATTCTCTGGTTAAAACTCACCTCCTTGTGGAAGAAGAGAAACCAGGAATATTTAGGGGAAGTTTCTCATTCCTGAGAGTTTTCCAAAGGTAAGACCAGAACCTATTATGATTCTGCTACAAAGAAATAGATCAAAGACTGTTGATATATGGCCAAGTGATCATTGCCCAGCAGCTCTGGGTTCTCTGGATTGCAGTTGCTGCCACCTTGGCATGCCAGCAAGGGAAGCCTGGAGTCCAAGACCAGACCAGGCTGAAAAGCCTGAGGCTGCAGAGTGGCTCCCCAGGTTGTGATGTTGAGCCACTGGGCAGTATTTGGCTGCAACCAATTCAATCAGTCTTGCCAAGGTGGAAGGGAAGAGAGTTCCAGCCTGGCTGGGACAAGTGACAGAGGTGAATGCACACAGAATTTGGAGGTGTGTTGACAGAGGAAAGGAAGGGGCTTAAATCTGAGGAACTGGAAGGGAAAGAGCTGGTGGCCAGGTGCAGTATGGTGGAGTCAGGGCTGGTGTGGAAAGCCAGGCAGTGAGGAAGGGGATGGACTGAACTGAGTGCTGGTCCTGTAGAGGGCATCAAATGGGTCTTGGGAGCCGAAGGGTCATCTCAGCCTCCTAAGTAGCAGACATCACTGAATCAGTGACAAACCTGTCCCACTCGAAAGAGGCCCAGGAACCATGACACTCCTAGTTCACAGGAGCTACCTCTTTTCGACTGCTAAATTGTTTGCCAAATTGTTGGGGGCTGATGAATTTTTTTGGCTTAGAGCTGGAAAGAAACTCCTAAAGCCCAGAGATTTCATATTTGGAGCATGAAGCAAAAACATGGAACCATGTGTATGAGGACTGCTCCTAATGCTACAGACACCCCACTACACAGGGATCAGGACCACATGTGAGCGCTGAGCATTAGAACAAATTTTGCTTGAGCAGTCAGTGACCTCTGATGTTTCCTTCCATTGCATGGAATGGAATAAGGGAAGAAAAGTGGAAGGGAGAAAACAGCCACAACCAGAGTGGAAAGCAGTGCAGGTTCACTGTCAGTGGGACTCAATGAACAAGCAGGACTTCAGCTACATTCATTCTTGTGAACCATCTAGTATCACAGTGCAATCTCCATGGCCCATGCTCACGAGAATCTCTCTTTGGGTGTGAAAAGCTGGTGAGGCCAGTGGTGAGGCTAACCTTATTTCTGCTTTTACAAGTGTCCCATGGTGCTCCTTATACAGCAGAGAAAGGGGGAGACATTTTAAAGACTACTGAACGTCTTCTATTATTTCTTCCAGAGGAGAAAGTACTTGGATTTGTTTGTTGTGCCCGAGGTTATCCTGAGTCTCCCTACAGTTGGTTATGGAACATCTGAACTGGCCTGTTCTTAAGGTATTCTGGAAACTCCACAGTGGGTGATTTCTCTCAGGTCTATTAGCAGGAATTAGGGAAGGGTAGACCTCTCTGCGTTTTGTGATCAGGGGCTCTAACCTCACCCCAACTTTACTTTCCCATTTTAACTTACCTAAACCTTTCTGTGCAGGCCTTAGATTTACTCCTGTGATAACACCATACTGAGTAACCCATTTGCCCCAAGTTCTACTCCTATCCACCAGGGCATGGAGTATAGAGAGCATGGCTTGAGAACTGCATCTTCCAAGCCCTGGGTTTAGGTCTAGGGAATTGGATACTGTCACACCCAACAGAATTCCTCCTACCCTGTGTGTTGTGTTTATAAGCAGTGAAACCCTCACCATATTTTTTTTTTACAAGCCTTGTCATTTCTTGGTTCTCCCACACAAATCTCAATTGCATTGGAAACACATGAGTGTGTGATATGTATTTTAGTTTGTCTTGCACTGTCAGCTCCCCCTTTGCAGTATAGTTACCCTGGGGCCTGATAGAGTCTTTCTTGCCCACTCTTCCATGAGGCATGTGTCCCCTTGGTTCACGTGGGGCATGCCCTCGTGTAATGTGAGGGGCTGCAAAGCTTTACTCAGCTTCACCTTTCCTTCTAGTTGACAGGCAAAAGCAAGAGAGTCCAGATCAGCCTATGAAACAGACTCTATGCCTTCTGGGCCTAGATATCAAGATGGTGAAGATGGCAAGAAGGGAGAGAGCAATGTCTCAGGTGAAGGAATGACCCTGCTTTAGAATTACAATAGCAACTAAATGTGTGTCTGACCTACGGTAGCATGATGGCATTTCTAAATCTCATGCTACTGTGAAGTACCATATGATAATATTGGCATTACGTGCAAGGAGGAATAAAAGTAAGGTGTTTTATTTCCATAGATTTTAACAGAGGTTCATATCTTGTGGAACAATCTGGAGGTTAGACTAAATTCAGAAAATATTTACACCTTCCAGTATCAGCAGGCTTTGTTGTGGTATTCACTGTTGATCTCTAAATCCAGGTATTAGTAAGTGCTCAAGGAGTACTTGTTTGCTAATTGAATAAAACTGGTATTTTTTTCCTGCCCTTGTGCAGTGAGGAGCTCTTTGTCAGGAAAAAGCTGGTATAGCCCATGTGTGCACAGGGATTCTGATGGTGAGGCCAGTAATGATCACCAGGGTAGGATTCCTGGGGCTCAGGAGGCTTAGTGAGCAAGGGCTACTGAGCATATAGGAGGTCACAGGAGTGTAGGACCCTGCCCAGGTGAGAGGTGGGACCATGGGTTCTGATCCCACCCGGCTTGCCCTCCATGGACCTTGCATAGACCGACATGTGGTTCTGAATTTCCTCAGTTGGGGGGATTTGAGGAAGGACCAACAACAAATCGTACATGTAGTCTATGAGGACAGGATTTGGTGGACTGTTACAACTGGGGGAGGAGCTAAAATAAAATGGGCAACTTGGTGGCTATAAGTCCAGGTTAGTCTTGGTCTTAGAAGAGAAAGGGGAAAGAAACAAATTTCAAGTTAGAATAAAAAGTCACTGAGGATATTCCTCAGCCCATTATCCCTAAACTTATGGGACTGAAATGTCATGTTGAGGAAAAGCCTCCCCTACTCAGTGTGATTGGACTGAAGGGTAACCTGAGTAGCGCTTGACAGGGCTGCAGCACCTATGAAATTATGCTCCTTCCCCCCTGCCATATGACACATGTTCACCCTGAGATCCAGGATAGGAGCTGTGCACGTTTTCCTCTGAGGGTGTAGCTTCTATCCTTGCAAAAAGGGAGGCTATGGGAAAGCTAGAGTAGGTTAGAGGGACCTGGTTAACAGCTTTGGGTGGGATTTTGAAGGTATTGAGGGGAATCAGGAAGAGAGGAGGCAGTGAGCATCATATTTGTCCCACTGGCCTTCTGAGCACGGAGTTGATGCTTGTGAAGGAAAATACATGAACAAACAAGAAACAAGCTTTCTTATTGAGATGAGACATTTATTTAGTTGCTGGTGTGTGCTCCAGATCTCTTCTAAGCTCTGGCCCAGGAAAGATGACTGCTCAGAGAGGTCGCATTGTTTGTTTCCTGCCGTAAGATGTGCTTAATGGTTTTCTCTATCCAGTCTAGATAAGGTGAGAGCTTGGTGTAGACACCTGGAGGATTGCCAGTGTTTATTCCATAGCAGACCATGGCCTGAACCACATTTCCACACATGAGGGGGCCTCCAGAGTCACCCTGTAAAAAGAGAGTGAGGTCATGAGGCAGGTGTCCTCCTGACCTTTCCCCTCTGGTGTCCTAAATCCCTCTTGAAGTACTACTCATATTTTGCTGGTGGGAGATGAGGGGAAAGGACAGGCCCCCAGGACCCTTAGCTGCCTTCTCTGACTGTTGACATTGTTCCTGTTTTCCCTCACTTATGGGATCAGCCTTTGTCCTTGCCCCAGGTCCTGGGACCTCTTCCCTCTAGAGCTCTGTGGGACCAGTGGTATCAGGCTTGTGTTTAAAGACAGGAAGACAGATGAGTGTCTAGGCATGGAGCAGGGAAGATGAGGGTCAGCAGGCTCTGAAAAGCCAATTGGCTACAGCTACTGCACACTAGGGAATGGTTTCTATTGTCTGTGATGTGAGCTCAGGCAGTGTGTTGCAAACTCCTGCTACTAGAGTGGCACTCTTCTCCAGAGGGACCTTCATGAAGTGATGAATGCCTCAGTTACCTGTCAGTTCAGGAAGAATTCTCTCAGCTTACTAAGTCATGAAATGCTGTTCTTTCTTTCTTTCTTTCTTTCTTTCTTTCTTTCTTTCTTTCTTTCTTTCTTTCTTTCTTTCTTTCTTTTTTTCTTTCTTTCTTTCTTTCTTTCTTTCTTTCTTCTTCTTTTTTTGGTGGAATCAGGGATTGAACTCAGGCCCTTGCCCTTGCCAGGGAAGTGCTTATTCCACTGAGCCATCTCCCCAGCCCCATGAAGTGCGGTTCTTGTTCCTACATCTTTCCCAGACACTCTTTCTCCCAATGTAAAGTGTGAAAGAACCACCATCTTACCTTAAAGGGGAATTTTTTAATTTTGGGGTCCCCAGCACAGATCTGAGTAGCACTGTCATAAATGAGAAAGTGTTTCTTACACTCCTCATCTTGTTGCACTGTTATCTTCACCTCCCGCAGTGTTTTTGGAAGTTTTCTCTTGGGGGCCAACCGTCCCCAACCAGCCACCTGGCATATTGCACCTGGCTTCACTTGAGATTTTCCCTTGGGAAGCTCCAGAATCTGCACCTCTTTAGTTAGATTGGCCTTTTCCTCCAGCTGATGGGAAAGAAGTAAGAAATATGAACCTGTGCTTTCTTGGCCTGGACACAGTGATGGATGATGGCAAGGAGGGAAGGTGCAGAGTCCCACTAGTAGGGGCAATCCTGTAGGAAGAGAGGAAGAGCAGCAGGGAGGTGTGCCTTACCTGAAGCAGCATGATGTCATTGGTGATTTTTTCAGGGTTGTACTGTGGATGTGGGATGTTTATTTGCACACGTATGACCTGCTGAGTCTCCTCCTGCTGCTTGATGTTGTGGGCCCCTAGTTTAATGATTATTTCTCGACCTTGTGAGTGCAAAGGTCTGTAAAGAGAGGAGAGTGGTTTGAAGAATGTGGAGCTTCAGAGGACCCATCCCAGGAGCTGTAAGTAGCAGGCTACAGTTGGTACATGTTTGAGGTCCAGATGAAAGGAGGGCCACCTGCCTGACTGACCATTCCTTCTGTTTCTTAGTAACACAGACTGAAATCTTGGACCTAGGGCTCCAGAAGTTCTCAGGGCTCGGTTACCTTCATGAAAACACAAACAATTGCTTTACTGTCTATTGTTATGCCAAGGCATGATCCTGGGCCTTAATATGTCAGATTTACTAACCCTGGTCTTCCTATGTCTGCAATTCCTTAGGTGCCAACTTGCTTGACAACCCTTGGGACATGGGTAGCCCCTTTCACTCTGAAAGGAGTCTCCTTCTTGTGTGTTTCTAGGAGCTTGAGGAGTGTCTCGGGAGGAAGGGTATCTGAGGAGCATTTCCCCAAAGCGGGGGCTAGTTTTCCTTCTTCACCTTTCCATACAGTGAGCAGCTGTCAGCACAAACTTTTCATGTATCAGGAAGCCACCACACCTCCATACATGAGTAATATTTGTGAGACGAAGGAAGGCCATGTAGGGCCAGGAGTGGGGCTTGGCTTCATGTCCCCCGACGATCTCCCCTGAGAGAAAAAGCCAGTTTTGAAGAGCCACTGAGTCAGTGCCTGAGCATCTACATTTTGACTCCAGAACTTCTGGACATTTGCCACCTGGGAGGCTGAGGAGCTAGGAGGAACCTGGAAGGAAGAGCCTTAGCTATTTTTACATAAGGAAGGAAGTCAGGTCTTGGTCTCACAATCTTTCTTCTCCATGCACTGGAGATGTGCATACCTGTTTGGAGACAATAAAAACCAGAGTTTTCCCACAATTCCTCTGCTGACCTTTCATTTCCATTGAGAACCTTAAACGCTCACAGTCCTGTGATATCTAGGATTCTGATGCATCTTAATGACAGGGCCTCAGGTGTGTTCTAGATGTTGTCTAACCCTCTTTCCTAGGCCCTGACAGGTAGTGGGTGACCCAGGACTGTTTATTGGTTGTAAGAGAACATCTCCAGGTAGTCTCTGGATCAAGCTTTGTAGGACAGTGTTGATGGGATTCTGAAAGACAGGCTAGTTAGAGTCTGTCTGTGTGGCTCATATGGAAAGCAGGAGAGAAAGTAAGGAATGGATGGAATGCAGCATTGGATAAAGCAGAATTGGATCAAGCAGAGTTGCTTGATACCTGAGGAAAGGCAATAGTAGTATTCTGGGAATCTGCTAAGCTGCTGATGAGGGCAGCAGCTTTCTCCTGCCAGACACAAAAGACAGGCCTATGCAGCCCTATACAGGAGTATTTGATACTTTCTCCTGTAACTTCTCACCATTAGCTGATACTTTGAGGAAAGACTCATTTTCTAGATGAGAAACGTTGGCACCTAGTGAGGGTATAGTTTCCCCTGGCTCTTGTTAAGAACAGTTTTTGTAGCCTACCCAGTGCCATATTTGGGGTTCTCTGGTGGATTGGAAGTAAGGTTCAGGACATTACTGGTAGACAGAACAATCAGAGATGTGCAGAGGACAGGACACTCATGTCCTGTGTATAATGGTCTGTTCCTCTTGGAGATGGAGTTGTTAACTTACCTGCCCTTGTCCTGAGGGGTAGAAAGAAGGGTACCAGGAGCAGGAGCAGAAGCAGAAGCTGCTGCATCTTCCCAAGAAGGCTTCCAAGGTGAGATCTTCTGAAGCTTTGTCCTTGCTGTTTTTTAGTCCCCAGTAGAGGAAAGGGGAGGAGTTGGCTCAGTCATTTATGTTTCTGTCTGGTTTTGTGAGTCTTCATTATGGGAGGCTTTCTAAGACAGAATCCAATGCCTCCTCTCATGACTTCCTGTACATCATTGTAGAAGATGACCACTCCTGATGATTCATGGCAGATCACCTGTTGCAGCCCACATGAAAAACCCACAGCTGTATGGTGGGGACTGGAGAATGTGGTATTTCCAAGAAAAGTCTCATAAACCTGGGTTCTTAGTGACAGAATTTACAACACAAGTGATATAAGTCCATCAGGATAGATGCTGCAGCAGATGAGCATTAGGCCCTTCTCTTGTGTTAGGAGCAAGCCTGTCGGAAAGAGAGAGCTGGCCATCTGGTGAAGCTGACAGAATCCCATAACCTAATTTCATGAAGGCTATGGTGGAGTGATGTCCTCATCAGTAACAAAGCATAGCCACTGTGTACTAAACCTACTTGATGACTCTTGCATTCTCATAGCCTCCTTCCCAGGGTGTCCTAAGCACCTCCTATTTTATTATGAATATTCAGTGTGATGGAGTCCTCCTCTTTTCTCAATATTTTTGAGAAAAGTTTCTGCATGTAGAATTTATTGGTCTAAATTAGCAAACTGCCCTAGGTTATTCTCACTACTTTGGGTAGGTTGTGTGGATCCCACTAGAATCAGCTGAGCTAGGGATGGAGGTGTGGGGTGTATATCTGGGCACTGAAGTCTTATTTTTTGGGTTTTTCTGTGCTCTGCTTTCTGGGGTGTAGGAAGTGTGTTCCTTGTTCAACCAAGTCTTTCTGCCATATTGTTTCTTCCTTGGATTCCAGGACTGAATCCTCTGAAATCATGTTGTTGGATGGACAGTTGTATCTCTAAATATCTGGATTCTGGTGATTTAAACTCCTCTTTTTGTGTATATTTTAATTGTTTTCTATAAGTCCTATTCCCCTTGAGAAGGTACAATTCTAGTGTTAATATCTCCATATAAATGAAGACAAACTAAATCAGGCATGTACATGTACAAATGTATAAAATGTTACTTCTAAAAGAGAATCTATAAAAGTAGATGGTTAAAAAACCCCAAATCCTTAAAACCAAACAAACTCAAAAAGACTTCAAATTGGCACTATAAAGCTGATTTTTCTCAAAGCAAGCAACAGTAGTTTTAAACTACATGTTGTACTTGGTTTTCTAGGCTTATTTACACACTTTTTTTGTGGCTAGATAAAAGGAGTAACCCAGTCTTGCTTTACTTCCTTAAACAGTCAGAATTCTGTCCCTTCACAGATTCCCTCCTCAGGTTATTCACAGATCAGTTCAGGTCACTGTCTTCTTCCTGAGTTGCGGGCTGGAAAGGCAATATCATTTGTCCTCTTTCAGGATCAGACATCCGAAGTATTCTAATCAATTTTCATTTTCATTTTGATTTTATTGTCATGAGCTTCATCTTCCAAGGTTGCAATGTCTATAGATTTGTGCTCTTCTATATTCTGAAGTTCCTGAATATCAGAACTACTTTTTCTTATTTTCATCTTTAACTCTTTATAATGTAGCTGGCACCTTTTAAGAAGTTCTTCATTTCATTTAATATTCCTTTCACAAGCAGACAAATGTTGAACGTTTGCTATTTGGGCTTTCTTATTTTCAATTTCATTTTCCAAGTTGCTTATTTCAGAATCCACATTTTTGCTTAGGAACTTAGGTCTTGTATTTTCTGATGAAGAAGAGCATCCTGCAAAAACCTGATCAACATCATCAGTAAAAGCATCCCTACAATTTCTGGGTGGCTTCTAGGACTGCTTTATTGCACGAACTACAGAGTTACTTTTATTAGCAGCCCAGTCTCTATGTTCTTCAAGTCAATCAGGCTATTTGCAACAACTGCATTGTCTATTTCTAATTCTGTCAGAACTGTTGGAAACTCTGGATGATGAACAGTTCCGTGTCTTACATCATACATCTCATTCTGGATTTCTGAAACTATTATCTGTGGCCGTGAGGTGCCAGCTGAATAAAATCTTTTCATTAGTGCCTGAAGAACTATTTCATTGGCATGATTATGGCAGCAGTAGGCTTGCGGAAGTCCTTTTAAGCAAGATTTGACAGCCAAGGCAAGCTCAGGATCCCCAAGGTGAACGCAAGCACCTATAGAGCCTATAAGTTTGTAGGTAAAATATTCACATTGGTAAGCATCATCTGTTGCTTCCAGAAGAGCTGGAACATGAGGACCAAATTGTTTTAGTCGATCAGTTTTACTATCTTTTAATTCTTTAAGTTGCCTCTGACTATAGTTTAGTGCATGCTTCGTATCTAATTCTTCTCTCCTAATCCTGTCGCGCTCTGCTCTGTCCTTTTCAATAGCCTGTTGAAATTATCCCATATCTTGATTGGTTGCATTTTCCTGGTCCTGAAAGGCCTTCAGTTTCTCCTCTAACCAACATTTTTTTTTTTTGCCTTTCCAACCATTCCATTTCCAAATACTGATCAACACTTTTTCTTTTTTTAAGTTCCTCAATTCCTTTACAAAGTTGCTCGCCATCTTTCTTCAAGGCTTTATATTCATTTAGGGAATAGTTATATAAAACCTCAGCTTCATTTTAGTTCCTTTTCTTAGCAGTGACATCTACTTTTAATGTCAAACATTCTGGTGCTCATGCATTTGTCTCTTGACTGATTTGTTCTAGTTTATCCTGAATATCCTTGTATTTTGTTTTGGCCTCATTAAGTTTGACCTGTTGCTCTTCCATTTTTCTATCAAGTCTAGCAGTACAATCTTCTCCAATTTTGATATTATCTCTGATTGCATTCAACTGTTTTTCAATTTCTTTGACCACTTCCCAGGCCATCTCATGTTTCAAATACTCTAAAATACTTTGAAAATGTTCCTCTTTCTCTATACACTGGCACTTTAGTTCAGTAAGTCAGTCTTCCCCTTGATTTATTTTCCTTTTGTCTCCATAATGTATGAATAGTCTTCCTTCATCTGTTCAAGTTGTGTTGCTTTCATGAAGAATTTGTATTTGTTTCCTACATTTTTAGACTGCAAGAACTGCTTGCTCATTTCTTGCGTTAAAACAGAAACAGGATTATCTACTTGGATGTTAAAATGATGAAGAACTGCAATCAGCTCTTTTTTCTTAGTAGAAACCATGGCACCTGTTTGATTTTTTAGTTTGTAGGACCGATTCCCATCCACGCTGATGTGCTGCTGCACAAGTATGGAGTCACTATACACATTTGCTCTGTAGACATCATCTCCTCTGTTCCTCAATGTGACTGTAATATCTGCTGAGTTCTGTCCACCTTTCACAAAACCTTTTAAAGAAGATCCTCTAGTAGTAGCGACTGCTTTTCCACCGAGCACAACAGTGAAAGCTGAGAACAGCACTCTTTCCACTTCCATTGCTGCCAACACAAAGTTGACATTAGAACCAAACTTGAAGGGCCCAAGCATTGAATGGCACATGAAGTTTCTTAGATGAATACTCTCTATCCCAACTTCCGCTGGAGTCAAGGTAGAGGTGCCTTTAGTAAAAGAAACTGTGCCTTCATCTTCATCACTATTTTTATTAAAATTCTCTTAGAATTCTTGCCTTGGTCTTTTGGCATTTTCAGAAGAGAAGAAATCACTTTGCTTTCTTTTCGCCATCTACTCTGCAAACTTAGTACTCTGGGAGGCTGAAGCAGGAGAATCTCAAGTTCAAAGTCCCCTGGGCAATTCAGTAAGAGCCTATCTTCCCAGAGTATCAGAATTCTGTTTCTGTCGCGCGACATGTTTTTAAGCAATATATAAGAGATTTCCAAACTTTTGTACAGGAGCCTCCAGCGGGCCACGATTTCCGAAGCAACCCCACGAGTGAGGCTATGGCGGGGAAGCGAGATACGAAGGACATCCCTGGGATGCCATTGGCCCGCTGGTGAGCCCAGACCCCTTAGGACCTCGAGCCAAGCCGGTGCCGGGACCGCCCATGCCTGCGCCCCGCCCCGCCCCTACCGGGGATTGAACTCAGACCCTTGCGCTTGCCAGGGAAGCGCTTATTCTACTGAGCCATCTCCCCAGCCACTATATTTCTTATATGAGATAAACCATGTGACATTTAAGCTTCTGTGAATAATTTATTTCACTGAACATTAAGATCTCAAAGTGCATCCATTTTCCTACCAATGACTCATGTTTATCCTTCTTTACTGAAGAGTAGAACTCCATTGTTTACATATATCACATTTTCTTTATCCCTGTCTTGATGGACATCTAGGTTGCAGGCAAGATGTAGCTGTTATGAGTTGTGCTGCTATAAACGTGGATATGTGTGTTTCACTTCAATAACATGACTTTTTACATTTTCAGGGAAAGCCTTAGAAGGGAAAGTACTGGGTTGAACGGAAGTTCAACTTTCAGCTTTTTGAGGAACTGTACTAGTTTTCATAGTTTCTCACACAGATCAGCAAACTCATGTAGTGAGCATACTAAACCCTTACAGCAGTGCTGTGTATGGTATGATATTCACTTTTAACCCCAATCTTTCTTACTTAACAGTATAGTTGAAGCATTTTTAGTTCAACAAAAATTGATTAGTCAGCATCACCATAGGACTTGTAACCTAATTGTATTTAAAAAATTAACATGCAATTTATTTTTCAAATTGTACATTTTAAAATAGCAACATAAAGATAAAAGAAAAATTATGATTTTGATCACTTATTGATAATTAGCTTTATTTTTATTTCATTATTATTATTATTTTTTTTGCGGTACCAGGGATTGAACTCAGGACCCTGAGCTTGCCAGGAGGCATTTATTCTACTGAGCTATCTGTCTGACTCAATAATTAGGTTTAATATCCTGAAGTACGATAATATGATCTAATATATGTATGTTTAAATAATTTTATTGAGAAACAAATAGTAATGAGACAGTTTCAAAACCG